TATATATATATATATAATATAAAACCTAGGTGATACAGTACATGCTGAAATGTTGTGAGCGATTTTAAAAATCTAATTTTAGTGATTAATATGGTCACTTTATAATATCTTTTTAGTGAACATCTCTGTTTGTATCAGCCGCACGCAATGAATAGATGTGGTACATTCCACTTACCTGTTATACTGAATATTGCTGCTTCTGCTGTAATGTACTAGCATATTGAATAATAAATACTCACATGTGTTACTTTTGTAGCGTAACAAGTCCTGGTCCAATATTTTGTAGATTCCTTTTACTGTAAAATTATTTTTTATGATATTTTAATTGAAAAAAATCAAAAAATGGCAGTAATAGTAAGACAACTAAATGAATGGTGCTACGATATAGTTCTTCCAGATCTATGCACACATCTGGATGGTAAATTGTCACAAATTTTTGGTCCTTACTCAAATTAGTATATGATGGCCATGGAGCAAACACCCAGAATACATTTTCAGCTCCCTGTGAGGACTTGGCAAGTACAGTTTGCCCTCAAATTCAAGTCCACCTGAAAATTCAGGTGGTCTCAGGATTCAGTCTCCACTTAGAGGTGTTATGTTTTTTATTTGAAAAGGCGGGCTTGAATTAGAGGGGTATGTACAATGGACATTTTACTGCGTTCTAAAGTGGAGAAAGACAACAGCGTTTTTGCCAGCACAAGGACAAAAGTGCAGTTTGGCGTAGTGGGAATGGATTTGTTTCCCAAGGTTCGGTTTTGATCCCCTGCTGCACTTTATCAGCATTGCTTCCCCCCACCCTGGAGTATAAATGGGTGATGGGGTTGCCTGCTACTAGGCCCAAAAATACCTAATAGAAAGATGCTATATAATAACTCATGGTACTATTAATATACTTACTTGATACTTGATTTTTGCCGTATCTTGCAAAAGTGCAGTTGGCCGTCATTGACTGGTAAAACTTACCAGTTGACTTCACTGCGGGTATTGATCTGCAGGGCTGGCAAAAAGTGCATGACTGCACGAACAGTGGTCAGAGGCCGTATGAATGTCCTGCAGGCATTTTGAGGGGTGGGAAAAAAATTTTAAAATAAGCTGTTGGGTTATTGTACAAATAACATTTGCTGCTGGAGGCATTTTATCGAGACAAATTTCATGGGCGGGGTCACAAATAATTTTTTTCTAGGCCTGGTAATCTGTTTGTTGTAATTGTAATTTGATAGAAGAGAAGAATATACATTGTCTAAAGTGCTTTAAAATACAAATGTGGTGCTACTCCTAAAAATAGCCTAAACAATTTTTTTTACGAAGAACATGGTCATGTTGTGTGTAAAGTATTTCATTGATGCAGTAAATCACGATTCAAGATTCTTTCAGCGTCTCATAAACAAAAAAAAACATTGAAACCAGTGAATATTAGCTATGTTCTATTTCTTTTCTTTAGGAACTCTTCTAGGACATCACCCATACACAGTGCATATCGCTGGGCCAAACAAGTGAGTAACAATTCTTTCTTTACGTAAATCTAAAAATGTTTTTAGCAGTCTATATAACCTATAGCTTGGCCTGTTAATTAAGATACCCAGTCTTAGCTTGTTATTTTAAAATGGTTGGAGAGCTATAAAAACCCTTAAAACACTGAAGGACAAGTTATATGAAAGACAATGTATAACATTCAATATTGGTTACCATGGGCCTTGTGATTACATATAAATCAAATGAAATTAAATCAAACAAGCCATTGATCAATATTGCACTGTTATAATTATATCAAAGTACATCTGGATCCCATCAGGATATATAATGTCTGGCGTCCTCTGTTAGGTTTGCATTAAAGTGCCTGATCCAGGTTTCATCTGGGCGATGCCATTTTAAAAGTGGGTGTTATGAAATGTGTGTTAGGTATTATATTGTGTGTGTAAGTGTCTAGGTAGTGTAATGTATCGGCATATTTTAATGTTTTATTTCAGTTATAAATATTGATCATTATGTCTATAATTATGTGTCTGTGTAGGCCCATTTGAGTATATTATTTAAGTCTTATTTATTGATTATTATGTCTGTAATTATGAGTCTGTGTAGGCCAAAGTTTTAGGGTATTATTTAATGTGTATTTGTGTCTCTGTTGCTCTATTTATTTAAGTTGTATACTGTAATATGTCACTTATATAATTTTTGGTTATTATTATTATTATTATTATTGTCTGAAATTATGTGTCTGTTGTGTGTATTGTAAATGTGTATTTATTTACGCACATAATACTAGACCTATCAATAATTATAAATGAAATGATAGAGTAATGCAAAAATAAGTTTAGATACTGTATGTTTAATTCATTTTAAATACACTAAATAACATTTATTTTATATTATTATATTGTTTATAATGTAAATCGTTGTATTTTATTTACATGTTTTACTTTTTAGTCTGTTGTACCCAGGCCGCAAGAGAGACCCGTCTACTTGACACACAGTCACATAATTACAGACATAATCAATAATTATATCTAAAATAAAATACTGAAATCAGGGCCTACACAGACATATACAACAGCCAAGTAAAAATAAACGGCAATACACGGCCTACAAAGACCGTTTCACCCGGCATTAACCATGCCTCACTACACACAGTATAATACCCAACACACACTTCATAACCCAATTTTTAGAATGCTATTGCCCAGATGAAACCCAGTGGCCAACTTGTATACTTGATCCGAGTTTTTGACATAACTGCTTCAGAGGTAGTCCTATGCCATATATTTAGATAATCAAACAGGCCATTGATCAACACTGTATCTTCATTACCTCCAAGTACACCAGGTTATATTACGTATGGCACTCTCTGTTGGGTTTAAAACAGTCATCTTAATAAACAGTGTGGCTTTGTGCCAAGATAGTCTACAATATATCTTTGTATGGTTTAGTGTATCAAGTATAAAGTTCATCTAATATTAATATAGAGCAGCACTCACACACACAGAAATGTGTGCATAACAAAACTAGACCGTGTTCACAAAATATTAATTGAATTTTGTCACAAATAAATTAGTGTGTTTTCGAATTTCAGGTCAAAGGTAAGATGGAGGCCAGCTCTTGGGTTGACATACTGGGCAAAGAGTTGTCGTGATGATGAGGAACTTCAAGAAAAGCATAGAAACTATGAGAAGAAACTGATGAAAGAGCTGAAAGAAGCTGGCAAGATATAGGTGAAGGGGGAAGTTGCTCAGGAAACATGCTATCCCACTCCCAGCAGGCAATATGTAGGGGGATGTTACTTCTTTTGGATTGTAGACCCTTTGTTATTCAGTAGTAGTAATAATAATTTAGTGGTGTCAGTAATTTTGTTTAGCTCAACCATGGAGAAATTTCATAATGATAATACCTCCACAAATAATTCCATTGAAAACATTTTTAATCTAATGAATTTTAAGAAAGATCTGGGGTAGATTTCTGTATTGGTGTTCATCTTAGCTTGGCTATAATCATGAAATATATAATTATAGATCATTAATTTCTGTGGTTTTGTCAGTGTAGTAATATGGAGGTTTCGGCCGCGAACGTATATGTTTAGTGTGACGGATACGTCATCATTTATGACATCATATGCCAGATGCTATCTTGAATTGCGCTGTGATTGCGAAAAACACAGAATGGCTACAAACTGTTACCGATAGCTGAACGTGTGCGTACACGTATTCGTTTGCGTGCGAAACCTCCCTAACATCTGGTTTAATACCTCCACCAAGGAGGTTATGTATCTCTACATGTCTCTGTTAGCAAAAGGGAAATATTGTAAAAGACAATGTCAGTGTGATAATGTTTACTATGATTGACCAGTTAACACTATTATGAGGCTCAGATTGCTCAAACTTTGTCTGTCCAGACTATGTATTCCCATATATAGTCATGCCTATAACATATGGTTGTTGTGTGATGTCATCATGGCCATATTTAGGCACATCACATGTTCTTTTCAAATAAAATTTGATAGCCTCAACAGGGCTTTAGACATTCTATACTTCATCAGACATGTTTGATAAAGTATTCTCTGTTGTGATGATGACCCATACTTTGAGAAAATCTGGTAATCATATTAATTATATTTACCATATAATAATATTTTTCTTAACGTTTATTATTTTTTTAATGGTGGTTGTAGAACATTACTTTATTTGTAGATTTAACAGGAATTTTAAAGTAATTGGTGTAAAGAAAGGCTTGCACTGTGTCAACGGTCTTTGACTAACATGATTCCATCGAGAATCTAATGCCGGGCACACACTGCGTCGTATTACGGTCCGTTGAATGGCGAACCTAACTCTTGTTCCTGTGAGAGCTAGACGAGAGGTAGACGTCTGCTGATTGTCGGTGGCAGTCTGAACGAATCGTCATAAAAACGATGTGTTGTGCTCTGCATAGAATTGCGTCGGCCGACGACCATCGAAAACACGTCGAGCCCCTGCTCAGATTGCCACTGACAATTTGCAGATGGCGATGCATTGTTGAGTGGATACGGATTCTTCGGCTGGTACTACTTTTGGCTGGAGCAGTGTTTGCCCGGCAGAACTCTCAGAAGCTATGTCTACGTATGAATGAAACTCATAAACACTGGTTGATAGTAAATTATTGATAACACATCCTGAGAGAGACATTTTAATGTACTGCAATTAGGTTTTATGTAATTTTAAATTTTTGAAGAATCTAACTTGTAAAAAAAGCTGTTTAGTTAATAGAACAAATTATTTTTTATGTTTTGTAAATTTAAAAATATATAATATTTGAATTTAATAATGTTGACCATTTGTTGCTCAGTATCTAATGCAATAAACACTGAAAGATTCAGTGTTTTGAAGACAGTGAAATAGTGGCACACCTTTTGGATATATTTTTTGTATCAACATCTAATGTTGATTATCTGAAAACATTGTCTATATTAGCCTGATACTTGAAACTAAGCAAATAATTGAAATGTCCAATTTCAATGGATGACCCCTCATTTTAAAGATCACATACTCAAGTATCTGAAATATGCCACAGTAACTAGATCGGTGTTTTTTGCAAAATATATATTTAATTAGCCAAAAAAAGAAGCAAAATAAAACAGTAAATTTTATATCTGAACCTGGATCTTAGCCCCAGTAGTTACCTTTTTATCAACCAAAGCGTATGGGAAAAATTGGGCACTACCCTGGGCCATTTAAAGCAAGAATTTAAATTGCTGACCAATCCACCTAATTTTCTATTTACTTAAAGTGTAATAATCCTGATTTTCAAATCAAACTCTGCAAATGCAACACAATTTTTTAAAATTTTGGCTAGGAAAAAAATAAAAATAAAATTTTATTGATGAATGTAAACATAAATGAGATTGATAAATACTTTAAATTTATATAATTGAGGAAGAAATATATATTTTATTTTTTTTAGATAGATCAGGGGAGTGGAGGGCGTAATAAATATAAACTTAAAAAATTATTTTTTTCTGAAAAAAATTTTCTTTTTTTGTGGCAAAGAGTGTGCTAACTGGCCAAAAATAAAATTTTATTTTTTATTCAAAGTCACCATTATTAGTGGTCGGAGTGTTTGCTAAATAAAGGCACTGATTGCCTTAGGTTTGTGATGTGGAGGGTGGAGTCAGCTGTAGATTGTTGAACAGCTACACAAGGACAGTGTTGGTGTAAAGTGGCTTAACAATGTCAATAGCTAGTCGTACTGTCTTAAGCTTGGGAGTGTCTGTTACTGGACAAAACAATAGGCCAGTTGTAGTTGCCCATTGTTTCAAGGGTAGATTTTATAGACTGGTGATTGTTGCTTGATGTTAGGTCTTGATCAACACTTAGAGCACTGAGAGCCATGTCCTATGTTTTGATGTACAGAAACCATCCTTGAAAATTCCATTTGTTTCTCTGATATGTACATGGTGTACTGACATGTACATGTACCATGTTAATGTATTAACATTCCACATTATTCCATTATCATCATTATTTATTTAATATATTAAATATACCAATTCATGACATTTCATATGAATATTGCAGATTTGCTGTTGATGAGATTTATTTTTTGGTGTATTGTTCTTAATGTGGTTTTCAAGCCTGGTGACTGAACAAAAACATAGGTGCAGCTGATTTTTTGGCAAAGATAACATTTTTTTCACCATAAAGTGGAGCCCAAAGAATAGTTGTTTTAAAGCTTTAATTGTAATACCATGATAACCAGGGTTTTTAGCCCGATAGTTACTTTTTATCAACCAGAATGTATTTCATAAGTGATGGATTTTCTATGAAGAACCACAGACATGCCTTAAAAAAGAATTGCCCAACAGACATATTCTAATTTCACTGTGCTTGAGCAACACAACTCTTTTTTTTTTGAGTTGATATATTGTGGTCACAATTTTTATGATTAATTATAGGATCTGAAATAATATTTTGAATATAAGATTATAAGCAGTGCAGTAATACTGTAGATTAATTATGGTATAAAAAATATGGTATGTGGGTATGTTTAATTGTATCCTAAAAACATTCATGTTTTAATTACTACTTTGAACTGATTAATAAATGCCTTTATTGATAAATTATGATTGTGATCTAGTGATCATTTCCAGTTGTAGATTTCATTTCAGGTCATTTTTTAGAGTAATTGGCGCACACCCCTCTTAAAATTACTTGCACCCCCCACCCTTTCCCAAAAAAAAAAAACATGGTTAAGTAGTTAAAAATCGCCTTATTTTGCGAATTAGTGCCTCTCAACTGATCATCGAGCCCCCCCCCCCCAATTTTAAGACTTCTAGATACGCCACTGCTTATCGAGGTAAAATATTTATTTAATAGAATTGATATACTGTACTCATTAAACTGATTTTTGGATGGTTTGGATACAGAGTCATTGATTCGGCTGCGGTACAGGGGAGCTCCCTCCATTTTTTACATGCCAGACTACGTTGGAAGGAGGCACAACAATTTAGATAAGAGCAGGGGAGTCGATTATATAGCTTAAACCAGTGAGTTGTTATAGTCACTATAACAACTCCCTGCTTAAACAGAAGAGCAGGGATGGCACAGGGGTACAGAATGATAATTATTGTAATAAAGTTATTTTATAACAACAAATAAATCAGTAGATAAAAATGGAAGAAGTTATGTACATCCATTAATATACTAGTGTAGTAATTAGCCTATTATATAAATAAGTATATTTTTTGATAAAGTAGTAGTGTTGACAATTTAAAATGATATATATGTCAAAACAAGTGTTTTTAATTTATTACATAATAATGCGAGAAAAGCAAACATCAAATCGTTTCTGCTGGTTGTAGGTCTATATATTTTAGGACTCTTTGTGAGTGATAAAAGCTTCGCTTTTAATGAAATGGTCCGCAAATATTCCTAAGAATGTATCAATGAGATTATACACGTCATACAAACAAAATGACATTGAAAACAACAGAGCACTTACTGTATACGCCAACCATCTTTACCATTCTCTCTTCACGTGCAATTTCATTCATGTGGTTTAAGTGGACTATTCTAAAATTCATTTATATATTTATCCAACAGTCTCTGAACAACAGCCAGAACTTATTTTCAACATGTAACATTTTATAATTTTGATTTTAAGGACTAGGAATAAATTATTAAAAATAATTAAATGAAGGTCTTGAGAGATGATATACGTTTAAGGTATGAACATTGTAACCCCTCTTAAAAATGGAAAACTCCAAGAGATAAGTTGGACAACTGACCGTCCAATCATTGATCGTATTTGTAAAACCGGGAGTAATTAGTTCATTGTCGTCATTGATGAAAAAATCCATCAATCGCGCCAAATAATGAAATAAAGCGAGAAAGCGATTCAAATTCAATCATTTCGAGACAAATTATTTCCACTGACTGACAAGTAACATCTGAAAAAAGAAGACTAAAAGAGAGGAAGAAATTATTTTTTTGTAATTCAATTATTATTTGTGATTTTCTTAGCTTTGAGTTATGAATCGAATCGTGTCTCGTTCGCGCACTTTCAATCACACTCGGTCACTGTATAACTGGGTCAGTGCCAACAGATACAACCAGACTTTACCAAGTACTGCACATGTTGTTGCAGGTATTCATAAAACAAACACTAAATTTTGTTATCAGAATTCGGTGCCTGTGTTATCTCAACCTTTACAGTCTACACATCGACATTACTCAGTCGCTACACCAGCAAGGAAAGTTACGGTCATCATGGACACCGAACAATTTGCTTCACGGATTCTCAATGGAAAAGAAATAGCGGAGTAAGTAGGCCCCTAGGCCTAGGCTAGGCCTAGCATAATTCTCAATGGAAAAGAAATAGCGGATTAAGTAGGCCTAGCATAGGCTAAGGTATAGGCCTAGGCCTAGATAACTACGGTACTCTAGGCCTAGGCTATCCACACTATCTAGCTTAGGCCCTAGTTAGGATAGACGCATCTAGAAAGTTGCCTAGCTAGGCCTAGTTTTCTCAATCTGTAACGGTAAGTGTAAATTAATCTGAGTGTCTGGCTTTAAGAAATGAAGTGGGACTGAAAGGTGTTTTCTGGGGCCAGTCTGCAATGCGTGCTTTTCAAGTTGCAGTCATTGAAGTCTACAATCCTCCATAAGGCAGTCTGGCTACAGTAAATACTTTAGCCTTGCAAGCAAGCAAGACCCGGCCACTAGGCCTATTAGTATTATCACACGTCTTGCGGGGTGTGGAAGGGGTGTGGGTCAAAAAAAGACCCTGATATAGTGATATATAGGACTAAATACCAAATGCATCCCCACCACACAGTACTTTTTGTTTGGGGAAATAACTTTTAGTTTTGGAAATTGCAGTTTTCGACTTAATTACCTAACTAAAGTCAGGACGCAAACAAGAAAGAACTTCATTGTAGTAAACCAAACAAAAATGTTTTCTGTGAGCCTGATATTAAAGCAGTTTTTCTCTTTCTTTTACAGAGAAATCCGTAGGGAATTGAAGGAGGATGTTGCACGTGTGAGGGAGACCCAACCGAACTTTCAACCAGGACTTGCCATTATACAGGTACAGAACATTCCATCCACTGTAGCATAGGAGTGAAGCAGTGACTGACAGAAAATAGTACCCGATTTCTTTACGTTGATTTAGCATGAATGCTACCTTGCAGAATAATATAAAAGTTTTGCTACAGAATTAATTTCTATTTCCAAAAAAAAGTCTCGCACAGCCAAAATATTCTGACTCCATTCATCACAACCATTATTTTTATTTCACATATTCGCATTGGCGATTTGATATTACAGGTACGCATGCACGATGTGCCTATATTGTGTTTCCCTTAGAACTACCATAGAGTTAATTTGTTAACTGCGGTTTTGTGATAATTTAAATATATTTTATTCACTGCAGGTTGGCAATCGTGAAGATTCAAATATTTACATCAGGAACAAGTGCAAAGCAGCTGAAAATGTTCGTAGTTTGTATATTAGCACGTCTTGTGTATTATTTGAGGCTTGTCATCCCAAAACCAGTGTACTGTCACTAATTTTTAAACTGAGTAATTTGCATAAGAATGTGACTACTGTATACTTTAGTACAGAGAAGTAATACTTTTACTCATAACTTTGGCAATATTAATTCAATTCCAGTAAATGACCCATCATTTTAAAGCCTGCAATGTGGAGAATAAGAATATATTAAAAAGTCAGTTTTCATTTTTGGTTACTGATATTGATTTTTGGATAGCAAGCCTCAATTTTTATTTCTGTGTAATATTTATTATCTTATATTCCATTATTTAAATTTTAAAGAAAAAAAAATAACTGTTGTTATTATATTATTATTTATTTCCTTATAATATTATGACTATATAATGTTGTTCTACACTGTTGTCTTTATTCAGTTTCAGTTCATTGTTATACTATTTTTGTATTATCTTATTAATACTATAACGCATTATTTTAATATTTTGTAGATTGGGATGATGACTCATCATGTGAAGATGGACAGGTCAACGTCCCTTCCACAGGTAAGAACTTTACGCACTGCATGCAATCCTAATCGCCTAATTCGTGTATGTAGAGCACTACGTCTGTGTCTATGTATGTTTGTCTGTCTTGTAAAGAAGCATATCCATGGCCGGATTAAACAAATAATTGAAATGTTCAACAAATATGAAAGAAACCCTATTCTAAAAAGTCTTGGTCTTTGTGCCTTGGAATAAAAAAAGAATTGAAATGGTCAAACATTCCTAAAACACTGATAACTATTCCAAATTCCATGATTGTTTGTTTAATCTGAGATGCTCAGTCATCTTCTTTGTATAGCTCTTATTGTTTATGCTTGTTAATATTCATCAACCCTTCACCAATAGTTGCTAAGAGTAAGACCACCAATTGGGGTTTCCAGGTTTAGATTGATTGATTGATCCTTTGGTTATTATGAACTTTCAGGTGATAAATCAGATTGAACTACTCAACAACGATCCACGTATCCATGGAATAATTGTGCAGCTACCACCAGACTCAGACCAGCCGCTGGACGAAGGCAAAATTACAAACGCCATCAAAGCAAACAAAGATGTTGATGGGTAAGTAGATTTGCACCTGCCAATTATATTGTTTTTTAAAGAAATATGAAATTTTATTTTGGCCTATCACATTCACTGCAGTGAAAGACTAAAATTTAATTTAGAAAATTTTTCCTTGGTTTTTGTCACTTTTGTTGATGCTATGACAATAAGCTGATTTTATTTAAATTTTTTGTCTTAGATTATGTCAATTCAATGTGTCAAAGTTAGCAAGAGGTGAACTGGATAAATGTTTTATACCGTGTACACCAAGAGGTTGTCTGGAGCTAATCAAGCGAACAGGTAAGACCTACTATTTACTTGATACTGCTAAAATACTTCGCTCATATTGATGTACATAACAATATAGAATACAACTTACTAGTAAATTACAGTTAATTGCTTGCAGCAAAGAACATGCTTTGTATGCATTTTTGGAAGTCATGTAAAATTACCATATTTTGAGTGTTCTCCCGGACCTCAAAAGTCAAAATTCCCAGATATATACTTTGTATACTAGCAAGAATGTTAGAGGGTACTTACTGCCAAGGGTATTTCATTAAGCTATTCAATGGCGGGAGGTTTTGTAGTAGTAAAGAAAAATACACAACATAATGTAATCCATTTTTTCCCTTTTTCAGGTATTGAGGTTCAGGGAAAGAAGGCAGTTGTGCTTGGACGGAGCAAGATTGTTGGTGCGCCCATGCATGACCTGTTGCTATGGAATCATGCCACTGTCACCATGTGTCATTCAAAGACCAAAGATCTTCCTAACATTGTAAGTCTTGCTGTTTGCCGATAAGCGTAACTAAAGTGAACAAACCTATGGAGATGGTGCATGCTCTCATCACTGTTATTGACTTTTCTGTTTTCTGATACAGGTGGTCCTCTTATTCAAGACCCCTCCAATTAAAGACCACTTTTCTGTGGTCCCAAATTAACAAATTTCTTTTTTTTCCTTATTATTCTAATTAGAAACCAAAGTTGCTAAATACCATGGAAACCCCAAAAGTTATCTTTTTTTTTGAGGGAGACCTATATTTGGAGAATTGAGGGGATTTTTTGCACAACATTATCCAAATTGTAAGGTTGTGAAATAAAAATTAAAGAAAAGAGTTAAAAAGTTAATTTATTATTTTAGGTATCTGAAGCGGATATTGTTGTGGTTGCGGTACGCCAGCCCCAACTGGTCAAGAAAGAATGGGTGAAGCAGGGTGCTGTCGTCATTGACTGTGGAATTAATCCCATTGAAGGCAAGTTTCTTTCTTTTATTGTCATTAATTTTTATGTGATTAAATTCTTTTTACAATGATGGGAATTGCTTTGTATGATTTGAAAACTTTTCAGAACAGTGTGTTAATTTCCACAGTTTACATAAATTTATGAGAATTCTGAACAATTTTTCGATTATTTTTAGAATTAATAGAAGTAAAAATAATTTTTTTCATTGACAGATTCAAGTCGCAAAAATGGCCGCCGCTTGGTTGGTGATGTTGACTTTGATGGAGTGAAGGAGGTGGCCTCTTACATAACTCCTGTACCTGGAGGAGTTGGCCCCATGACCATAGCCATGCTTCTCCAGAATACAGTTGAGAGTGCAAAAAGATCCATCAAATCTGGAATGGTGAGCATCTGCTTCAATTTAAGTTCTACTGATTTAATACAGTATGTTAAATACAAAGTCTGTAAACGAAAAAAGGTGAGAGGAAAGTAGAAAAAGAAACAAAAAGAAAAAAAAAGAAAATACAAAAATCGAAGATGTTAAAAGAGCATTGAAACGATATAAGCAGGTAGTTAATTCCAGAAGGTGGCATGCTGAAGCATGACTGGATCTTAGATTATGAAAACAGGTATCAGAGCATAGAATTTTGACCTGATATGAATTTTTGAGATGTCGGTATATTTTTTGTGTTTATCATTGCATGCATACTTTTTGTGATTCAAGTTGTTCGTTAATGCACTATTGCAGATACACATTGATAGTGTCAAACCACTCTTAGCATTCCTCAGGATAGTCTAGTTATTACAACCCATCTTTATATTTCACAGCCCCAAGGTGCATGGGCGATGCGATACCTGCCACTCGAATTGAAAGAGAACGTACCGACTGACATTGAGATATCTAGATCACAGACACCAAAACATGTATCAGAACTTGCCCAGGAACTGAACCTGCTTCCAGAGGAGGTTGACTACTATGGCAAACAGAAGGCAAAGATCTCACTGTCGATCCTTGATAGACTTGCAGACTCGCCAAATGGCAAATATGTTGTAGTTGCAGGGTAAGAAAAATTAGGTGTTTTTTTTTAATGATTTATTGTTGATATATTGTTGAATAATTAACTTTCTAACCAGTACATCCAGTCCTACTAAGTAACTCCCAGACGTATTTTCCTCATGATGAAATGCTCTTATAATCTGTTTGCCAATTCTATCTTCATATAGTCACATATTCATTAATGAGCATAGGGGAATGAGCTGTTAGGAGCCCATCATACTAAGCCTCGACATTGTGTGGTAGGGTGGCCAGTTTCTTTGTTAAATCTGGATGGTTAATGTCTGAAAATTACACAACAGAATAAAGCGCAAAACTGCTCTATTTTATAGCTTTTACTGTGGATATAATTAGAGTCAACTTCAAATCCATAAAACTAGTCAATGTGGAAAATCTATCATATGATTTTGTTTTTTAATGTAGGATAACTCCAACACCACTCGGTGAAGGCAAGAGTACAACAACTATTGGTCTCACTCAAGCCTTGGGTGCTCATCTTAAGAAGAATGTTTTCGCTTGTGTCCGCCAGCCTTCCCAGGGTCCAACATTCGGCATCAAAGGTGGAGCTGCGGGTGGTGGTTACTCCCAGGTTATACCAATGGAAGAGGTCAGGAATTTAGCTTATTTATAAACTATTTATCAATTGTTTGATTATTAAATTAAGGTATTGGTATTGAAGTATTGGTGAGTAATACTAGTGTTGGTGTCAATGTTCAAGCTATTAATTTTCATGTTTAAATTAAAGTTATTAATTGTGATAATTGTAAATCAGTGATGGCATGTCATGTATTATGGGATAAAAACATTCATGTGTTTATTTTCTTTATTGCAGTTCAATCTTCATTTGACTGGAGACATCCATGCCATCACTGCTGCAAACAACCTCTTGGCAGCTGCCATTGATGCCAGGATCTTTCACGAATCTACCCAATCAGACAAGGCCTTATTTAATCGTTTAGTACCAGAAAAGAAGGGCATACGAGAATTCTCAGCCATACAGTTGGGTCGACTTAAGGTAAAAAAAATATTTTTTTTGCTATCAATTACTAATTTGTGATGATTGCCATATAAGAAGCAAGATGTAAGGGAGTACATGTTGGCATATAAGAGATGAAGGGGAAGACGATGTTAATAACAATGGTAATGGTGATGATAATGAAATGGATATTTTATTTATAGTGGTGATGCAGATTATGATAACCATAGTAGTAGTAATAATGCTAGTGATGATGATGATGATGATGATGATGATGATGATGATGATGATGATGATGATGGCAAGGATAGTTTTATTGATAATGGTGATAGCAAGGCAATTCAACAAAAGGACGCACGTCTCCGCTCTTGAAAATAGTGCGTGCGTACAGTCCTTTGATCTTTACTGTGGCATCAACAATCCAATACTAGTTGCAAGTACAGCCGTCAATTATCAGTCTATGTGTGGCATACGTTTAATAGTGTCAGTTACTTTTTTTTCCAATTTTGGGTACTTCGCATAGTCTGTTATATCTGATTTCTTTTTAATTGACCAACAAAATGAAAAGTTATGGTAATTGAAAGTTTACGCTGTTTTATAAAATTTCATAATCTTATATAACATTAAAGAGTCATTTTGACAATGTTGGACTAAGGTGCACAAAACGAACATTTGAGTAGATACGGAAAATTTATTCATTTTTTCTACGAAGTGAGTCTCACGAACGACAATACACCACAACATTGGTAAAATTAATGTTGAAATAAAGAATATAATTTCAGTCTAATGTTGGTGTAAAATATCAGTAGGCCTTTGTAATTGCCGCACGATGCGCGATTATCATGATAACTAACACACGCGTGGGTAGTTCGTCATGTACGCTGACGGTTCATGGTCTGGTTGCTATGTTTTTTGTGACGTTCAGCGTGTAGGGACGCACATGCGCCAAGAATGTCGATGCCAGAGTTATAACCTTTGGTGTCCTGAGATGTGCATCCCTTTGGTTGAATTGCCTTGGTGATAGAGATGATGATATTGGTATTTATAATGGTGATGTTGGAAATGATGATAATAATAAAAATGTTGACGATAATAATGTGATACAGATTCATTTCAGAGATTAAGTAATCTGCATTTCTAGATTTAAATCACTTTGTAATTATGTTTTTGCAGCGACTTGGCATCGATAAAACCAACTCAAATGAGTTGACAGAGGAAGAAGCGGCAAAGTTTGCCAGACTTGATATTGACCCCGAGACTATCACATGGCAACGTGGTATGTTCATTCATTTTTTGCTTATTTGGTGTTGAAAACTTGGCTTTGCTAAGTCATAGTACTTATCACTGCATGTACCAAATACCATATCTGTACTTAAATGAGTATTCCTTGCATGTTGCCTTGAAGCGGAGGAGGATAGTAACCATGGTGTTAATGATGATCATGTTGATAACAAAAGTGTTCATAATGGTAATACATATCTTAAGACAGCATAGCTCAGTCAGCTAAAGTAGACACGGTGTGCACTGTAGAACTTCTAGGGATTAGATGCCCTTCCAACTGAAACAAGTATTGCGGCAGAGGCCATGGAAAAGGGACGGGCAAATCCAGTGGCCTTGCCCCCTTCCCCTGGAAAAAGAAAAGAGAAAGAGGGGAGCATGGAACTCCAGAACATGCTAATTTTTTTATTTAATATCATTATCAGAGAATTATGTATCAACATATACAAAGCAAAGACAAACTTTTATGATTAATTTACACAGTATTTTTTTAAAAATATATTAAGTAATAAACCAAGTAATTACAGCAAAATACCTTTTACCAAGAAAATCCTAATAAAATGAAACTCTGAAGCCTGGTTTCCATACCATCGCTACTCCTTTGGCAACGCTGTTTGGTCAGTGGAATCGGGGAGCGTTCCTGCAGTGCAATTATTGCACTAAAAATGCTGTAGCGATTCTATAGAAACTAGGATTCATACTGTAGAATTTTTATAGATATGGATTGATTGATATATTGATTGATTGATACACTTGTATCCTACCTAGTGATTGACACAAATGATCGCTACTTGAGAAAGATCACGATCGGCCAGTCCGCAACCGAGAAAGGAATTACACGCGAGGCACAGTTTGACATCGCCGTTGCCAGTGAAATTATGGCTATTCTTGCTTTAACAACCGACCTGAAAGATATGCGCGAACGTCTTGGCAGGATCGTCGTTGCTAGTAACAAGAAAGGTCAACCTGTTACCGCTGACGACCTTGGTATCGGTGGCGCACTCACAGTTTTGATGAAGGACGCAATCAAGCCGAATCTAATGCAGAACCTTGAGGTATATTTCTATATTTGCTAATTTCTATTTTTTTGCTTTGAATGACCCAGTTGTTGCTTTTCATGTTTTGTATCTTTATCAAAGGCAGTTTATATTACTTTTAAATAATAATATTTCTCTTAGGGCCTGTTTGTGCTGAGTAAAAAACATGTATTTTTAAACAGTTATTCAAAAAAGTGTGTTTTTTTCTAAGCAGAAACGGGCCAAAAACGAAAACACAGTTAGGAATGCGTTCTAAAAATGCATGTTTTAACAGCCATTCGTTAAGAGTTTGGCGTTCAAAAAACACATGTTTTGTGGTACACTTTTCAGCTGCAGCGCAATACTGTGTTAGTCATGAACCATTGGTGAACAAAATTGACCTCTTCGTTGGTTCGTTCACTGGAAATTTGGGTGAAGAAAAAAATGAAATCAACACGATGACATGCTTTAGACTTATTTTAACCATAATTTTTTCATACTTTCGCGGTGTGTTTACTTTTTTCGCATCAAGCGCTGTAGCTCACAGGAAATAAGCTCAACTTCCGTAGGTGATCGTCATTATAAGCTCCGCCCACCTACCAATGCTCGCCATGTTTTTATTAGTTGCACTTTTCACTAGAAACGCATTCCAAAGGAATTCAACTGCTTTTAAAATCCACATATTGTTGGTATTATTTAGCAGAAGCATGCCCTTAGAGAAAGTGCTTTTAATATTATTTGTATGCTCTGTAAAGTACGCTTGTTTATTAATGTATCCTCCAGAAAATAAAGTGTAAAAAAGATTTTTAGTTGTAAAAAGATTTCCAAAAGTTTGGACATCTATAAAATACAAAATTTACAGTGTGGAATTTCTCTCTAACAGTCCTCGCACCTACCAACTGATCTAATTTGACATAACTAATCAATTCTAGTGGAATATCAGCTTAACAGATTGTCTTTGGTTAAGAAAAAATAATACTAATATTCAGTCGTATTTTAATGTTATAGATTCTATCAAGAAATTGTGTTTATCAATACGATAACTTATGTTATTTGCATGTTTCACACAAAATTTCTTGGGTTTCTTCTTTCACTTTTCTGCTAGATCCTGTATTTTAAGAAAGAATTATATTAATTATGAATAATATTTTTTATCTTTAAGGGTACTCCAGTTTTTGTGCATGCTGGACCCTTTGCAAATATCGCCCATGGTAACTCATCCATCCTTGCAGACAAGATTGCTTTGAAGTTAGTTGGTGAAAATGGTTTTGTTGGTAAGTGTTTTGGAAAAATAAACAATATTAAACAGGTCCACATACCGTAAAACCTTGAATAGAAGTCCAGCGGGCTTAATCTTGGGAAGAAACCCATCTTGAAAGAAGCTTCCCCCCCCCCCCCACTCTCTTTNNCACATCTAGATGTGTATAAGAAGCCAACCTTGAACAGAAAGCCATGTGCTTTTTAATCAAGATAGTGTGGGCTCCTTTTCAAGATAGTACTTGCATTCAGCCTGACGTTATATTTGATTATCATGATGGTTCGATAGTGTGTGAGTATCAATATTATTTTATTGTGCTAGCATGGTTAAAAAAAATGTTTAATGGTAAACAGAATTTAGAATTCCATAGTTGAAAAATGTAAAGTACAATTCCAAATATTTACAGCATTCTCTTTGAAAAGAAGCCCCCTCTTTAGTTTGCAAAAATAATCTTTAACAGAACCTCATCTAAAAGCCCATCCAAGGGTTCTAAAAAAAAAAAGAAGCCCATGGCTTCTGTTTTACAGTATTCATCTGATCATTGCCAGAACTGCAATTCTTTCTTACAAAATTGTGATTAAAATTTATTATAGTATAAAAAAATACACAAAGCAACAGTATCCTAAAATACTACATTAAAATATATAGTAATATTGAAAATTATTTCTAAAGATGAGTGCTCATTAACACACTGTATTTTGCAACATTCAGTAATCAATATATTTTTATTTTACAAAATGCAATAAAGATTTCTTCATAAATGTTTTCAGTTACTGAGGCTGGTTTTGGAGCTGATATTGGAATGGAAAAGTTTTTTAACATAAAGTGTCGTTATTCTGGACTTATACCAAATGCTGTAGTACTAGTTGCTACAGTCAGAGCTCTGAAAATGCATGGGGGAGGACCAGCAGTAAGTTGATCAGCATTCCTCAGACTACTTTTATGCTGATATAATATTATTTTAAAGAAAACATATTGTTCTCATTTGAATTAACCAAATACCTTCTCAGGATTCACACTACAAACTGATGTTTTGTTTAGAACACAAGTTGTTATCAAGGTCTAAAAGTGCTTACTTATATCATGGCAGCCGGGCCTAGAAAATATTGATCGTACATGCCGGCTAGGACTAGAAAATACCATACTTGTTTGCCATCTAAGCCTAGAAAATACCATACTTACATGCCAGCTACACCTAGAAAATACCATACTTGTTTGCCATCTAAGCCTAGAAAATACTATACTTACATGCCAGCTAGGCCTAGAAAATATCATACATGTTTGCTATCTAAGCCTAGAAAATACCATACTTGCATGCCAGCTAGGCCTAGAAAATATCATACATGTTTGAAATCTAAGCCTGGGATATAAAATACTTACATCCCAGCTAGGCCTAGAAAATACTATACTTGCATGCCAACTAGGCCTAGAAAATACCATACTTGCATGCCAGCTAGGCCTAGAAAATACCATGCGTAGATGCTGGTTATTGTAGGCTTACACTACTAATAATTTTCATCTCCAGGTTGTTGCTGGGAAACCATTGCAAAAAGAATACTGCGAGGAGCATTTGGAACTGGTTGAGAGTGGTTTCTGTAATCTTAGAAAGCAGATTGAAAATGCTAGTTTCTTCGGAGTACCAACTGTTGTGGCAATCAACAAATTTATGTTAGTAGAACATCCATGTTTTTCAAAGTTTTTCAGCATGATTATACATGAGTTTAAAAAGTATTAAGATTTTTAGTACATTTTAGCCTTGTTTCCATAACATCTTCAATACAATAGCTTTCCTGATTGAATCAGGGATAGCTATGCATTGCAACAAATGCAATGCGTAAAACGCTGTAGCATGGTGGAGCGATTTTATGAAACCAGATTGTATCAGATTGAATGACTCGCATTTGAAGACATCGCAAAAATTGATTCTTTCCACATAATTACATGAATAAGACCATTTAGAAAAACAAATGATTATATTAGCATTTTGTTTTATTAATATAAGGATACACCTTCGGGGCCAAAAAAAGTGTCCCCCTTAATAGGGGTGTCCCCAGAATGGGGTTTACCATAGTGTTAAAAGATATATTTCTGTCCTTCGTAGGGGTGTCCCATTTAATAGTGATATTCCCTTAATGGTTACTGTATTTGATAAGATTCATTTTTATAATACATTGCAGTACTGACACTCAACCGGAGCTAGAGTTGATCCAGAAGCTTTCTCGGGAGGCTGGGGCATTCGATGCTGTTATCTGCAGCCACTGGGCTCATGGTGGCAAGGGAGCTGTTGACTTGGCTGCTAGTCTCGACAAGGCCTGCGAGCAGCCTAGCAATTTTGAATTCCTGTATGATGTGAAGGTGTGTATGGATTGATGTCTTCTGTTCTCGTATCAATAAGTTAACTAACCAGGATAAAAACATGCAAGTCACACATAGTTCCACAATATTATTTGTATATTTTATATATTAGTGATACATTTTCATATATTAATAATTCATATTTTTCTTAACATGCAATATATTTTTCCATGTCAATTTACATACCATATTTGTGTTCATCATACTATTTGTGATAATCTCACATTTTATTCTTTTCACTGAAAGAAATCGCTTCAGTTTTCATTAGAAGAGAAAGGTCACTGTTCGAACACATTTTAATGTAGACAATTTTATGTTTCCTGTCAACCTTCAGCTCCCTATTGAAGAAAAAATAGCTACAATTGCTCGCAAAATTTACGGCGCTGATGGAATTGAGTTGTCCGAAGAAGCTAAGAAGAAGATAGAAACATATAAAGCCCAGGGATTTAATGATCTGCCCATTTGTATGGCAAAGACGCATCTGTCGCTCTCTAGCGATCCCGCGAAGAAGGGAACGCCGACGGGATTCACTCTACCAATAAGAGATGTCAGAGCAAGTGTCGGTGCCGGGTTTTTATATCCACTTGTAGGAACGGTGAGTCTTTAGATTTTACTCCTTGACACCTCCGTTAAGACCCGCCACCTAGATATTTTTGCTAAGATCCCACAAAGCGACAGTGTAAAAACAAACGTGAAGATGTGCGTTTGTGGGACAACATGCGTTCGTGAGATGTGCGTGTGTGTATTCCTGATCCCGTTTTAATTGGTCAGTTAAGTTCGACACTTCAGGAATTTCCATTGAAAGAGCAATCAAAGAGTATAGCCATCGAGTACTGTAGTATCGTAGTATTACAGTTATTCAATAAGATATAGAAAGCAGCTTAGCTCAGTTGGCTAATTTGGTGGTAGCCACTGTGTGTGCGCTGAACCGTGGAGATCTCTAGATCCCCAGTTCAATTCCCATTGCTGCCTCTCCTTGTGTTTCAGCTGGAGGGCTGAAATACAAGTTACAATAGCGCACCGTCTTTCGGATGAGACGTTTAAGCCGTTGGTACTGTGTGCATTTATGGCCCATGTGCATGTTAAAGAACGCAGTACACTCTTCGGAAAGGAGTAGTGGATTGTCTCCTGGTGTACTGCCCAATCACCATAAGAAGGACCCCACTGGAAATAAGTCTTCTAGACTTTTGTGAGATATCCTTGGTGTTTACACCGAATAAATCCAATCCAATCCAAAACCACTTCAGCTTCTTTGAGAATACTCATTCCCATTGCTTTAAGCTCCACCCCTTAGAAATTGTTGCTAAGGTCCCAGAAAACGACAGCCATACATGCAGAAACATGGCTGAGTTTGGACAACATGTAAATATTCCCAGCTCTTCCAACTGATCAGTTTTTAAGTTTAATTGAAAAGTCCTTTATGCTTAATTTGCAACATCACTAATATATTCAAAAGACCATTTTCAGTTTATCATTATTATTATTAATATTGTTACACCTTTCAAAAAGAAACTATAAAATAAGATAAAAATAACATTTTAATTTTATTCTTCTATCTTGCAGATGAGTACAATGCCAGGATTACCCACAAGGCCATGCTTTTATGATATAGACATTGATCCAGATACAGAGACCATCTTTGGATTATTCTAACTTATGAATTTTACAAGGAAATTGCATTTATAGAACCCTGTTATGATACTTGCATACATCCAGATACAGGGACCAAGAATTGATTGTTATTGTTATAATTTATGTTGTTACAGGAAAATTGCATGGACCATATTTTTGTTATCTGCATACATCCAGGTAAAGGGACCAATATTTTACGTTGTTTTAATAAGTGAATATTACAAGAAGTCTACAACTTGCATACATCCTGATACTGTACAGTGTTATAGATTGTTCTAATATGTGGTGGTTGTAAGCATGTCAAACTTAAATACTTTCGGCTTAAGAAACCACAGTCATTGTTTTATTTGTAATGGTTTCAAGACATCTCCATGCGCAATGGACAATACGATACATATCATTCAGATACAGGAATAATTGTTAATGGTTACCCAAAAAAATTGTACAGATAATTCACCAATGTTTCTGATAGTATACATACCATAGAGACAACTTACTGATTAGTTGGTACATGCTTGTAAAGAAAGCTACATTAGACAATATTTTTATACTCTTCACTATAAATCCAGATACAAACCATCCAGTTACAGAAACATATACAGATTTCTTAACCTGTGATGGCTACAAGAAAACCGTAAGGCAGAGAAATCTTAAGGTGCTGTGTTCTAAGTGGTGATTGATTTTTTGTAATTGCTGTTGACAATATTTTTCTACAGATTAAAGCAAGAAATGCACCGTCCACAACATCAAATTTTCTTTAAATACCCATATATAGTCACAATATACCTATATATGGTCATGATGTGATGTCATCATGACCATATTTAGGCATGTCACATGTTTTTGTCAAATAAAATTTGATAGTGTAGACAGGGCTTTAGGGGGAGATTGTATCTTGGAATTCCTTTCTAAATAGATATACTGTAGTGTATTGTATATTTCATTGGCAATGACTTCTGAATATATTTTGTTTGTTTAGCAGTGTTGTGAAATGTAACTGAAGGTCGCCATAACTTGTGGAGTATACTTAGGCCTAAAAAAAATGTTACGTTGGCGTAACCTGACGCGACCTTAAAAAAACGGACAACCCTAGACATTTTTATTTAAATTTCATGATACAAGTTTACATGAACAAAGTGGGCGTGGTCAGGCGTCACTCAAAATGTTTCAAAAGTGGTCTAAGGGCGAAAAATATGATAATTAGGAGCTCTAAAGGTTTATTTAATTGAATTTATAGATTTCAAGGTTTTTGCTGAATAATGTGGCAAAAAAAAAAAAATCTCTACCTACCTTCCCTATTTTTTGGGGCCTGTTACGCCAACATAACATTATTTTTTTTTTAGGCCTTACTGTATTTCTATAAGGAATATTGGTAAAAAGATTTTTTGGATGGTGTTAAATCAATTATTGTTTGTACCAACTATTTAAAAAAATGTCTGTCAAACAAAAGAATGTTAAAAGTGCATGTAAAGAATCAGTTTAATAATCATCCATTCAAACTACCACCGACAATCAGCCGACTGCAATCAGCCGTGTGTTCATCAGCTGATGTTCATATGAGGCAGTGTACCCAACTTTATTTTCGGTCACACAAAACATTTGGTAAAACTGACAAATTTGAGTAATTTGCTGGGAAAAAAATGTATAATGCATTATGTGAAAATGTAGATAAGTTATACAGTAATATATTAATTTAGCATCAATCAATTATTAGTATGCACTGGTGGTATGCATTGAATATGATTGAAATAAATTAATATCAGTGTATGTGGGGAGAGTTATGGACTTTTCAAAGTTGCAAAATATTAATTTTTAATTTGAGTTCTGTTGCTAAATATTATGGTGCCTAAATAATTTACCCAACAGTCTCCTATTTGCAATGCATATCTGATTTTACTTGGAAAATTGGCAATTTGGATTGACTGCATGGTTTATTTGTAAAATATAGAAACTTGTAAAAAAATGTTATAAATTTAGGTACAGTGCCAGACTCAAATTATATATTTTTGTTTAATCATGCTTTCATTAATAATAGTTTGAATGAATTGATGTTATGTTTCTGAATTGAAACATCTTAGGAAATACAGGTACAGTATATACATTATCCATGGGATGAACATTTTTATTTCTGAATAAAGTAAAGAAAAGTATGTGTGTTATTATTATTATTATTGTTCAGTATATTTATATTTCTATAGAATGTATACAGTAACTGTAAAAATAGTATAGTAATATACATATTAGTAATAATCACTATTTGAAACTTAAAACAAAAATGATGCTGTCACTGTTGTGCCCTACCTACTCATTACAAAAATATGTAAAATAATTGGCATTCTACAGGCTAAATATCTACATCCTATTACTGATGTTCCTCCAATCTGCCCATAACATCAACATGACAGCCAACACCATCACTATCATTATTGTCAACATCATTATCGTACCAATCATGATGTGTGTGAAATTAGTGCACCATTTTCATTAGTAAAGTATGCAACATTTTGCAATTAAAAGGTGCCTCGGATGAAATATAAATTATTAAACCTGTACGTTCATCCTGTATCATTCATGTGTTTACCCACGAGACTTGTAAAAGAAGCTGAAGTTGTATCGATGAAAGCTCGTAAATAATCGCTTTTAATTCTTTTTCATGAATATTGTCATGACTTCTACTACTCTATCAAATAGTATTATTCTTTGTGTCATTAATAATTATTAAAGGCTTGGACCCTGGACATAGTCAGTATACATATAAAATAGACCTGATAGAAATTTGATTGTCAAATAAATACTGAATTAATATCATAAACAGAATTAATATAATAAAGCAGCCCCCTGTCTTTTTCAAAGTTTTTCAAACAAAAATCAAAAAAGATTCTACTTAAATTCTATGTCTACTGTAAAAGTGCCATTTTAAGCCGTCCAGAGGTGCCATAATCATAAATTTTCTTACTAGGCCGCAAGCATGGTGGGGCTGGGTAGACCCTCCATCTGTGAAAGTCCTCTGGGCCCCCTCTATATCAAATTCCTGGATCCGCCACTGTAAAATTTTATATGTTACGAATCATTTCAGCTCTACGTTTCAATGAAGGATAGTTTATACTTTTCATGTTTCTATAGCTATTGCATGATTATCAATTATAAATTTTTTCTACAATTTTTCAATGATTTAAAAAAAAAAATTTCATGATTCGTAATGGTTATTACTGTAATGATGGCAGTTGCAAAACTAATAATGATAAAGTTATCAATGATTGTATCTACAAAAAAAACAAAAAAAAAATTATTTGTATCAAACCAATAGTGATATAGTATATTTATAAGTTATTGATTTGTTTGCCAACGTTATGATAATATCGTCAATGATCAGTGGCGTAGCTACGGGCAGTGCAGCCAGTGCAAAGCACTGGGGCCCAGCACTATTAAGGCCCAATTCATAAATAGACCTAAAAAATATAATTTAAAGTAATTTCCAACTTAATGTTTTTGAAAAATAAAACGGCCAGCGGGTCCCTCAATGATATTCGGTTTTTAGGTGATTAATTGTTATAATGTGATTTCAAATGTGGACTAATCAAGGGTGCCCGAGTCGCCCCGCCACCCCCCCCCCCTTTTTCGAAATTATAAAAGAAATAGGAAAAATGGGAATTATATTAAAATTTAGGTTTGAGAGTTCCATTTCCAGCCATCAGATGTGATATAATCATAAATTTTCTTCACCCTGTGAAAAATCCCTCCCTGGTCCCTTTATTTCTAATTCCCTGATCCGCCACTGCAATTGTTAAATTTTGTGTTCCCAATTTTCTTGATTAGTTTAGAGAAACTGCTGAGACCGAATATGCCATAAAATAGTTACGAATCCGATTATCATTAGTATTTGTTTAATTATTTAAATTAAATATCAAGCACTCAGACGTGACCCATCGGACCCGAAGGCCTAATCTATCACCTGAATTTCATTGTAAAATGATTGAATATTGTATTACTCTTTTTATTAAGTCGGTAAATCACCTCCGTCGTTTTATACCCGAGGATTAGTGGAGATCAGAACCATGTCAACTTGATTCTTTGTCAACCAGTAAGAGATAGCACTTCATTCATAAAGATTTTTCAAATCACCCACAAGTTAAATTTAAATGACATAAAAATAAAATTAATATAACTTAGAATTACTCATACAACAGAACCACATTGAGTTATTAAATCTAACCGTCAACAGATTTGGTATTGAAGCTACTATAGGAACATTATTTTAGGCACGGGAAATACTGATGTTGATTATCTGTTTCAGGGGTGGCGCCATGACCTGCCCGACGGAGGGGCTAAAGGCCCCGACGGGGAGGGGCTAGTGGAGCGAATCGAGTCTCACTTGGCTGGGGGCCAGGGGGCCGCCCATGGCCCCCGGTGGGGGCCGGGTCCAGGGGCTTCGCCCCTGGAAGCCACGGATATTTGATGAATTATGGCGAATTTTTATTACTTATTTGATAGGCATCGAGATACTATAATATGACTTCATGTAGGCTATGTTTTCTAATGTTGACATCAGCTTCCAAAACCAAAACATTTTGAATAAAGCAAGAAACAAAGCGTATGCAATGTAACCATCCAATTTAATTTTCAAATCCTCATTCTAGAAAGTGAAATTCTATATTTTGGAAATTTTGCATGAAATCTGTCAACCACGTTGTCATGGTCGAGGTTGCTTCACCTATAACGATGTATTCCAACCATCATGAGGCTATCTAAATGAGCATTTGTCATAACAGAACGCAAATTATTTTTAATTAGTCTCATTGAATTATTATTATTATTATTATTATTATTATTATTATTATTATTATTATTATTATTATTATTATTATTATTATTATTATTATTATTATTATTGTGGTTGTTGTTGTGTTGAAAAGTTAACACAAACGACCCCCTCTGGCGCCACCCCTGATCTGTTTTCGGTCGGTTTGTACAGTATTTATAAAGCTAACGTTTTAAAAAATCTTAACAAGTGGAACCATAGGTCGCTCTTTACCCTTTTTTTAACATAGAAAAATATGAGAAAATGGTTTTAATTTTTTTTTCCAAAAATCAAATTTCATTTTTACATGAAAAGAAGCTTTTTTATACAATAACCCTATTTTTATATCATGCAAAATGTTGAGGTTAATGAGCGATACATGCTGTAAAAATGTGCTACTGAATTGAACAAATAAAAGTGGGATGAACCAACAATAGAGAGAGAAAAAAAGTTATTAAATCTAAGTTAAGTTATTACAGACGTTTTACTACAAAAATATATTCTTAAATTTGCTGCCAGAAATATACGTGTAATTGGAAGACTAGTTTACACACTAATTGACGAGAAAAATATGGCTATAATTTTCACCTGAAAGTCAAACACATTGATATAAGCAAAACTAAAATTTTCAAGT